AAGATTTTACGCAAGGTCTCAACAGTGAACTATGAGATCAACCGCTCCGTGCTACCCTTACGTAGAAACTCTCACATTGTGCATGTTAGCAAACTGCGGCGTTATTTTGAACCTTCTGAACTGAGACTTTCTCGAGGGGAGGGGAAAGTGTGACGCATTCACAAGGTGATTCTAGGAGAAGCCGACGAAGAGGAAGTGCGCGTGCATTAGAATAAACGCATGGCATCTGGACCACGACGTGTCTCCAACTTATAGCGTCACACACACACACACACACACACACATATATATATATATATATATATATATATTATATATATATATATATATATATATATATATATATTATATATATATATATATATATATATATATATATATATATATATATATATAGGTATGGGATATGGCACAACGGGAGCGTTGTCAACAAGGATACATATATTTATTTCCCAACAGTTTCGGGAGGGGTCCTCCCTTCATCAGGGTATAACTCATCCCCTGATGAAGGGAGGACCCCTCCCGAAACTGTTGGGACATAAATATATTTATCCTTGTTGACAGCGCTCCCGTTGTGCCATATCCCATACCTTCACAAAGACTAACTGGCCCATTGAATTATTACTCCCACTATATATATATATATATATATATATATATATATTATATATATATATATATATATATATGGAGAGAACTGTATACCTAAGGGCTCGTATTTCCGTGTTTTAACACAATATTAATGAGATATAACAGACAGTAATATATATATATCTATATTGTGGGCATTTAGTATACCAATCCTCTTCATCTGTACATTATCATCATCATCTTGGTTCGTGCATCTCCGCTGTCGGCTGCCGGTTCCTCGGGCCTAATAAAGGTCTTCTAAACCAAGACTTCATACGTGGTGGAGGTGCGGGGTTTCATCGACGATTCCTCAACATCTGCGCCGCTTGGACGAGGTCCTGACTTGCCTTGCGGGCGCTGGTCTTCAAATTAACACAAAGAAGTGCCATTTCGCCAGCAGATCTATCATGGTTCTCGATCATGTTGTGAGCAAGGACGGAATTCGTCCAGACCCTGAGAAAACTGCTGCGGTGCTTCGCTTCCCTCGCCCTGAGAAGCCGAAAGATTTGCGAAGTTTCCTTGGTCTCGCCTCTTACTTTCGGCGATTCATACAAAACTTTGCCTCCATAGCCGCACCACTCTATAAGCTACTTGCTTCTGGTACGCCCTTTCAGTGGTCTCAGGAATGTGAATCGGCTTTCAACAAAGTTGAAGAGTGCCCTCACGACCGATCCTGTACTTTCTGACTTGCACGATGGTGCACCGACCTTCCTCCATACAGACGCTAGCGGCCACGGTTTAGGAGCCGTCCTCCTCCAGCGTGACAACTCTTCGCGAGAGCGAGTCGTTGCGTACGCCAGCCGCGTCCTCTCCGCAGCCGAAAGGAACTACACGATCACCGGAAGCAGTGCCTCGCCATCGTTTGGTCAGTGCAGAAATTTCGTTCCTATCTTCACGGCCGCCATTTCACCATTGTGACCGACCACCACGCTTATGTTGGCTTTCGACACTCAAGAACTTGTCGGGACGCCTCGGCCGCTGGATTCTAACGCCTACAAGAGTATGATTTTGCCATCGTATACAAATGTGGCAGAAAGCATAGCGACGCCGATGCTCTTTCTCGCTGCCCAATACCAGCGCCTCCCTTCAACGTTTCCGCAATCACTTTGCAGAACACCCTCGGAGTCCACGTCTACGGTGGTTTCCTTTCTCGCCTCTATGGACCAGCTGCCTTCGGACGACCCGCACGATTTTTCTTCTCGACAGCTGGCTGACCCATACTGTCGACGTATTATAGGCTACCTCACTGGCAGTTCCCGTCCACCTAATGCGAGGCTCCGTCGCCAACTCTCGCAGTTTAAGCTGGACAACTCGGTGCTGTACCGCAAAATTTACCATCCTGACGGTCAGCGCTGGGTTCCCGTTCTGCCCCGATCGCTTCGGTCCGAAGTCCTCAGAGCACTTCATGACCATCCGACGGCTGGTCGCCTTGGTTACCACAAAACCTACGATCGCCTTAGAAGTTGGTTTTATTGGCCAGGTATTACCACTAGTGTAGCTCGGTACGTTGGGTCCTGCACTACCTGCCAATGTAGAAAACTACCCACATCTGCTCCAGCCGGTACACTACAGCCTCTTCCATGCCCAGCCACACCATTCGAAGTTGCAGGCATCGATCTTTATGGCCCCCTTCCAGTCAGTGCTGCTGGAAACTGATGGATAGTAACAGCCGTTGACCATTTGACACACTACGCCGAGACGGCATCTGTCACTACCGTTCAGCTTCTGAAATTGCCGACTTCATCCTCCGAGCCATTATACTGCGTCATGGTGCTCCACGTGTATTGCTCAGCGACCGTGGAAGGGCCTTCCTTTCACAACTAGTGAACGAACTTCTTCGCGCCTCTGGCTCAACTCACAAGACTGCCTCTAGTTATCATCCCCAAACTAACGGCCTCACTGAGCGATTCCACCGCACTCTTGCTGACATGATCGCCGACTACATTCAACCAGACCACAATAACTGGGATGTAGTTCTACCATTCGTCACTTTCGCCTACAATACGGCTATTCAGCGGACAACCGGCTACTCACCATTTTACCTAGTTTATGGACGCTCCCCTACTTCTATGCTGGACGTCTCTTTCTTTACCTGCTATGCGGATTCATCTCCATCCTCTTCAGAGGAATACGTTTTGCGGCTCGCAGAGAGCCGCCAACGTGCTCGTATAAACACTGAAGCCCGACAGCAAGACAGAAAGCTGGTTTATGATGAATCGCATCGTGCTGTATCTTTTCAACCTGGAGACGAAGTGCTCCTTTTGACGCCTATTCCACACATGGTTTGTGCGACAAGTTCCAGCCACGATTTATCGGGCCGTACACAGTTCTTGAAGAAACTTCACCAGTGAATTATTGCGTGACGCCACTTGTAGCCCCAGCAGATCGCCGTTATCGAACTACTGAAGTCGTCCATGTCTCTCGTATGAAGCCCTTCATGCGACGTTCTTTGTCCCCTTGACTTGCCGCGGCCAGGCTGGCCGCTTTCACGTGGGGGGAATCAGTGTGGGCATTTAGTATACCAATCCTCTTCATCTGTACATTATCATCATTATCATGTATTGCTCATGCATCCTCATCGTTGTCATGAATAACAATATCATCATTATGTGCGACAGCTGCGTTGCGCTAAGGAAAGGAGGGAGGGCAGGCACTCCTTCTTTTTACTTCCTCGCATTTGAGCGTGGGGTGAGGCGGCGCTGCGGTAAAGATTTATCAGCAGCCCCCTTCCCCCTCTCTTCTAATTCGGGACCCTTCGCACGCCTATGCCCATAGGGGCTTACGGCGGGGAAATCGTGCTCACATGTTCCAGATTCATGACCAATTTCGCTAGGTGAGAAAGTGCCAATATGGGTGGCACCTGCCCACTCACGTACCTATCAACAGCGGAGGTGTTAAATTTTACAAAACCATGAGATAGTCCGCACAATTCTGGGTGAGAACTCGCTAAAGATAGTGGATATGTACGAAACGATTCCTAGCATTTATCCATGCTTAGTATAGTATACCAAAGGCGTGAGGTGTGTTGGTGTGAGGCTGTGGAGCAGAATAGAGGAGAGAGTGTAAGGAATTGGACAGTCTGTTGTGGGTATAGTTCAGAGAAGGGAAGGGAAAGGGGAGTTAAGCAGAGGAGGAGGAAGAGAAGGAGGAGCACACCACGCGCTCCACTGACGCATTTTTCTTTTTGTCATCATCTTTATCTAACCAGCATTCGTGCTTAGAGAGATGGAGGCTTTCGGCTCGCTTTGCTAATAGATGATAACGGGTGGCTGCTGCACGATATGTTGAGCCACCTGACAATGACAGCTCTATGACGTCACGGCTCCGCAATATGTGACAGAAGGACGTCGGCTCGTTAGGTATAAGGACGCTGTACGACGGCATGCCAACAGAGGAGGTCCACGCAAGCAGTAGGCTTAAGGCTCCGTAAAAGTACAAGCGGTGGTTATGAGCTCGCAAGAATGAAAGCACGCACACACACAAATGTCACGCTGCAGCGTTCCTTCGAGGTGTACGTGTCAGGCCGCCCTGCGCAAAATAAAAATGTCGTTCGCACGCGCGCGCGCGCGCGTCAGGCGTTCTTGGCGGGCCGAATGCCAGCCAACAGCTGTTCTCTGGCAAAGGAGTGGAGGCGAGCCAGGCTTCTCGCAACGCTTGAGACGAGAGTTCCGAATCGTGCCTCAGAGCTGCTGCCATCGTTGGTTCAAGAGACGAAAGAGACTTGAAAGTGCGAGAGAGAGAGAGAAATCGAGGAAAACAGAGAGGATGGGACGACGCTAACGGTCGACAAACAAGCGCACGAACTATTTTGTTTCCTGGCTCCATCGCGGAGGGATACAAAAACATAGCAGACGATTTTGCGCGGAGAACTGCGCGAGCAGACGACACTGCTGTAAATAAAAATGTCCATATGTTTCGTGATCGCGTACGCGGTACATGAGTTCACTTTTGATGGCTCTTAAAAGTTTAGATAGATTACTGCAATATTTACTGAGGCCCAGTCATTCATCGGTGTTTTCTCTGATTCCCTTCTCTCTCGTTAAAGGTCGACCTTGTTCCTCATTTCCGCAAAACTTCCATCTTTTTTCCATGGCCTCTGTGCCCACGTAGCGTATTTACTCGTCTCTCAACCCACACTACAGGGCCCCTAACACTAATCAGTACCCTATTTTATCATGCGTTACAGCTAATTGAACGCCTGCGGCGTTCCAGGTACCCTACAATTTCGAGTCAGTTTGCTCTCGAAAGAAACAAGTGCGGACTACTTTGCAACACGCGCGCGCCACTCTCCGGAGCGCGGAGGGATACATCGTCGGAGGCGGGCGCCCTCGGACCGTATAAAGCCCTGGCCCGCGGCTGCGCGCTTTTCAGCGCCGGGTTAACGGCTCTACGCCGGCGGTGCAAGCTAGCGCGCGGGGCTAGCTGGCGCCCGATACCCCATCGTCGAAGCTAGGGGAAAAGGACTCGCTAAAAAGCCCACTCAAAAGGACGACACCCCGACTGCTGCCCAGACCTCTCTATTTTGTACTCCGGCCACTAGCCGTGTTTTATTACTTGTTTTGTCAACGGAGTTTCAGCTGCCAGTTCGTGTTTTTGTATTCTTCATCCCGTAGAGAGGACTCCGTTACCGTTTCGCTTCGTCTCATCTCTTTTTCACGGTGCATCAGTCAAGAAGAAGTCATTCATTTGTCTACTCGTGTTTAAAGCCAGTTTTTGTATATCTATATAGTCGGGTTCTTCGAAAACGCCTTCTTCGTCTCTGCTCAAAGGCCAACTTCTGATCGCCGCCGCCGACTGCCAGCTGTGTTTCCTCTGCAACCTCTGCTAGGCAAGCCTCTACTAGCCGCCTGTCGCCTCACACTTCGTTCTTTGGATGCATTCCGGTGAGTCGGTGCTCTTTTTTGAAACACTCGCGCGTCTCCTTTATCCGCCAAGCACTCGTTCTGCTATCGGTGTTTGTAAACAATTGCTATTGACTTCAATAATAACACCACCCCCTCTCGCAACCACTTCGCAACCCGCTCGAAACCTCTTCGCGGATTTTTACTTGAAGTAAGGTAGTGACCTTGAATTCTTTTTCCCTCTCCGCTTTCGGTTAACGGCTCTGGCTTATCGCTGAGATAGCGTGTTGGTGTTCCGGATTGCGTCAAGAATTAGGCCTAACGTTGTTTTGTGTATCCTTGACAACGGCTCCTTGGAGAAGTGGCCAGAGGTAGAAAACAAACAACTGCGACTTCGTAATCATTGCGGATGCCTTCGCAAAGATCTAGCTGATTATAGCTTTTTTTGGTAGTGTTTTCCTATGCGAAAGCCGATGTAGTCCCCTGTGGTGAGAGGACCTTGAAAATCGAGAGACGCCCGACGGCGGGCGTCCACTCTTTTTGCCCTTATCGTTTTTCTTATTATGCTCGGCTCGCTGGCTCGAATCCTCGCCCACATATAGAGCGATCGATCTCCACGCTCCTCCAATGGCTGTCGCCGGGATAAAAACAGAGCCCGGCGCCGGCGGTACAGTTCGGACCCAGTTTGGAACACCCGAGAATAAAGCGAATGCGAAAAGAGCGAAATAAACGTGGGCGGTGCTTTATACCTCTCGCTCTTTATCTCATCCGCCTCTCCACTTGCTAATGTGCGTGGTGATACTTTGGCATTATACTCCCTGTGTTGGGGAACGTTCTAGAAGGAAGTAAACACAGGTAAAAAGGGAGCGAGACGGCACTGCACTTTTGTCGTAATCGTATCTCGTCTAACACTTATCTTATCTCTCCGGATGCTCGAGTGCATTGAGGTACATTGGCATTATGATCCCGCTGCTCCCGGCGCTTGGGATGGTTCTTGTAAGAAGTAAACATAAGAAGGAAGGGAGATAACTATTATACCTTATCGCGACGGCATCCGTCTAACGCTTATCTTATCTCGTACTCACCGGATCCTCGTGTGCGCGGTAATAGCTCGTGGTGCTCCAGGTGCTTGAGGTCTCTTTGGAAAAAAGTAAACATAGGAAGGAAGGAAGGTAGCAAGCCAATGTAACGCCTTATCAGAATCACATCCGTCAAACGCTTATCTTATCTCTGTTTCTTACCTTGGAGGGAGTTGACGCTCGTGTGCAGGGTGATACGCTCAGGCATTACGTACGGTCCTTGTGTCGCAGTGCTCGGGAACGCTCTGGAAAAAAATAAACATACAAAGTAAAGAAGCAAGCCCGTATAATGAGTTATCCTAATTGCATCTGTCTAATGCTTATCTTATCTTGGTTTCTCCGAATGCTCATTTACATGGTGATACTCTGGAATTGTGCACCCGGAGCATAAAAGTGTTTTGTAAATAAGTAAACATATCAAGAAAGGAAGCCGGCTAGTATAGCAATTTATCTTCATCGCGACCATCTAACGCTTACCTTATTTAGATTTCACTGGGTGGTAGTGTTCGTGGTGATAATTTATCATTATGCTCTTGGCGTCATAAGTGATAACGGGGGTTCTACAAAGAAGTAAGCTTATGAGAAAAAGGAGCGAGCTAATGCGGCACTATTTCAATCGCGTCCGTCTACCATCTACCTCTGTGTTTGCCGATGCTCGTGCTTGTGCGCACGCAATCATGCTTGCGTACTCTTCTGTCTGTGTTTGTGAACATAGGAAGGAAGAGAGCATGCTATTATAACGCACTGTCTTATGTTACTCATCTAAACCTTATCTTATCTCAGTCTCTCCTGATGCTCGTGCACGTGATGGTCTAGTACTTAGGCAAGGGGCTGTCAGTGCTGTGAAGGATCTAAAGTTAAGTAAACACACGAGCCTAAAGCGGTACTTATTAAAGTTCTTTAACGTTTGTTTGAGTATATAAAACAGTATTTTTGCGTTCGACTGTCTGTGTTTTTGGAACATTTGAGACGGACGTGAACATAAAAGGGCAGAGAGCTTTCACGTCATTACCTCACTCCTCTTACTCTATCTTATCTCTCCGTATCTGGAGGGTGCTGGGAGACTAGTTACCTTAACAGTGCCCTTTTCCTCTCCGTGTTTTGAGAGTGTTCCAGAAAGCAGATATATGAGTGAAGGGAAGGAGACACTTTTATCTAATTTATCCGTCCGTTATCTAATCTGAATGCCCCTGAATGCTTGTGCGTGATTTGATTTCATCGTGACTCGATGTATGAAGCTGTACTGTGGGAGCATACATCTGTAACGATGAATAAACAGGATAACTCGCAAAAGTAAGTAAACACAACTGTAAAATAAATTATCTTATCTTACTTGTGAGGGCTTGGCTTACGATCGTCGACTAAAGTTTAACGGCCACGCGGCACTTACAGCCGATGACTGATCATTTGATGTTATTATGCAGCGTATGTTTAGAAACTTTTTATGAACAGAAAAAAGAAAGAGAGCGAGAACAATTCATATTATCTGTATCGCTCTTATTGTGTTAATCTAGGTGCTATTATGGGATTAGAAACTCTATTAGTGCGCTCTTCAGGGCTGTTTTTGGACGTTAGAGCAAAAAACATGATAGACTTAAGAGAGTCAGGCAGAAGAAAGCTTTATCTTATCAGTAGGCGTATTAATCTTATCTCTCGCCATGTGCTTGGTTATTAGTAAACAGTATTAGTGCATGGTTCTGGAGCCTGTGTTTTAGAAATCGGAGCGATAAGTCAGCCTAACCTAAGAAAGTCTGCGAGAACACTATCTTATCTCATTCATCTTGCTCTTATCTTTGTCATAGGATGCTTTTTTGTGAAGAAATGTTTTAGCAGCGTGCTCCGTCAAACTGTGTTTGGGGGCATTAAGCAATAAAAAAAGTCATGAAATGTGTGCGCGCGGTGGCTTATCTTACCACTGGCTCACTTCTCTTATCTTCATGTTTCTAGTCGTGTTACTGGTAATCGAGTAACTGCCAATTGGAATCTGGATCACTGAAATGCGATATTTCCCCTCATTTATTTGTCTCTTTGGAAGTTTGTTTGCTGCGAACAACATGTTGATTAAATACAGACACGAAGGTAGCCTACCTCTACAATATTCGCTTCTCCTGGAAATACTGCTTTGCTGATAAAGGGATTGCACAAACCTGATAAACATGAGATATGATCACAGACTATATTAATCTATCAGAAAGAGATCGTCGCTTTAGCGTTGTCTTTGTTAGCGTTCCGTGATCGAGTTTGTTTTCTCACGCCTTTTTAAAGGTGGGGTACTAGAAAGTCTACTCGGCAACTTTAGAGCAGAAAGCAAACGCAAGAACTTAGGATATGCTTTGTTTTATGTTGTGCTTGAAAGTAACTTCATATAAATGAACAAGATTAAGTACTTCTAAACCTTAATTCAATTTAGACAAAGACAGTGCTACTTAAAGAAATCCTTTGAGCTTTGAAGCAGGAAGAAGACAAAAGCTGTGTAATCCCATATGAATATCTACCTGCGTGCTCTCTTCGAAGAAGCGAGACGCTTACTGAACTTTTTTACGTGCGCGCCTTTCGAGCAGGGTAAAATTTGAAACATCGAAGGCTCTTATCTATTTTGTCAGTCATGACGGAAGTTGTCAATCATACGGCTAGGTGAGCTTTCACAATGGTGTAAAGCACTGGTGGCACTCTTCACTTTCAATTTCAGTTTATTTTCAACATCAAAATACAGCGTACAGTGATGTTGTGGGCAGGGGGAAAAAGCCTCTAAAATGGCCTTGAAAGCGTCCACTGACCATATGATTTGACAGACCGCAAGCAGTACGTAGCAAGCAACATAATGCAGTACAGTAGTGCAAGTAAAAAACAACATACAAAGAATTTAATAATACAGATTTACATAATACAGGTTTTTACCCAAGTGGAAAATGTTTTCATCAGGCAGGAAGTGTTGAATGAAGTCAATAACCTAAATACATAAAACAGGCTAAGCTTCACGAGCGAAATTCTGCCACTAAAACAATCACTGAAAAAAGAAAGAAAGGAAAAAGGGAATAGCAAGAGTAAAGACTTGAAGCACAAAAAGTGAAAATCGTTCATGTATCATATGTATTATATCATTCTAGAAAGAACAAAAAATCACACCATATCCACCTAGGGAATGATGATGACTGGGGCGAAGCGTCCGTCTGTCTATTTGTCCGTGTGTCCATCCGTCCGTGCATGCGTCCATGCGTTCGATCGCGTTCGACAATGCAGAGGGCGCGCGGGTGACACCGACAAGACGCGAGTCAAGGAAGCCGAGCGCAAGCGTCTTCAACGCACCCGCCGCTCTGCTTCGTCCATGCCCCACCAACGAAGTGCCACGTATGGCGACTATCGATGAGACTGAGAGAGGGGCTCGTTCTCCGCGCACTCAGGCAAAGCGCGCGCAGCAGCCAATTGGAGAGTAGCGGCATTTTGGAGAGTAGCAGCAGAGTAACGCCATCTAGGAAATTATACGAGAAATGGTCATCCATTTCTTTTGCATTTTTTCCCGTATCTTCTTCTTTCGGTTACGCGTGACCAGTGACAAGGTTAGACTAAGAGGAGCTTCGCCTTCAAAACTAAACTAGATTACAAACGCCAGGGACGCTCAGCCTAGTGTTGGTACTTGTAGATAATCCACGTTTTGAGTTGATTCATCATCAGGGATTGATGCATAGTGGTCGTGCCCTTGGCAGAAAACGCAAGTACAAAGAAAAATACGTCAGTATCCTATCCTTCTTGGCATGGGGCCTACATGCTTCTATCGCCTAGCGTTGAACGAGAACTTACTTAGAATACCGACCGGTATATACTATTTGTATTACCCTCTTATGCTCCGTAATACCGGCTCCACCAAAAACATATTACCCGCCATTATTTACTCCGTACACTTTAGCCTCGGCTGTCACAGACGCGTTGATTGATCTTGTTTTGTGTCTTACGTTTCGCAATTCGTTGACGTGTTTATTGCTGCTGCTCTGGTTGCGAGTTTTGTTGTTGGCGCAGTTTTCCCGTGTTGCTCCAGCAATCAAGCTTGCTTAGGAGCACGTGTCTACTCTCGAAATGACAGCGTTACGAAAATGAAAATTTAAAAACAACGAAATGTGAATTATGCTTGTCTACCTGGTTCACATACACAACAAAAGAATAGATCCCTTGTGCTGTTTATTCTAGTCTTAAGGGCCAATTAAATACTTCTCTCCCAAGGCGTATCGACACTCGCATGCATCGCCTAAGACTCGCAACTGCTTACGCAAATCACTTCCTACTTCGTATTCAGAGTGCAACATCGTCAGCATGTTTATGCAGCTACGATGACGAATACATCTATCACCACTTGCTCGACTGTCCGAAACACGACCCACACCGATGGCGACCAGAACAGGCACTCCACACGCTAGATTTCGAGCGGCCATTTGCGTTGAATAAAATACTAGGCCCATGGCCATCTAAAACAAATGGCCAAGCAATGAATTTACTGCAAGACTTATTCGAAGAAACAAAGGTTTGTGACCGCTACTGAGTGGGCTATAGTTAAAAGTGAGCGTGGCTATTACGTGTTTGTTCTGACTACAGGAGAACTTTTGCACTCACCTGTGTAGGACTGTATATATGTATATACGCTATTTGTTTTTTTTTACAGCTCCTTATGTTTAACAATCAAGTGGGAAGGGGTATCCATCGCCAAACAACGGTAACAACAACTCCTTCGTTTATTTACTATTTCAATAATAATTATAAAAAGACACGGAGGTTTAGTTATATCATTTACGTCTGAGCGAAAGAACTTACTGGTTGAAAAAATTTACCTGAGATGAGGCGTTAGCTCCAAGTGACGATCCGCACAAAATGACACTGGATAAAGCAACCGGTATTTAATTCGGAGTCAAGATTCGTTTAGCCGCACTTCGATGAAGGTGAAGTGGTGGCTGCCTGCGTAAGTCTGTGACGTCAGTGCATGTAAAGAACTCCAGATGGTCCAAAATGTTTCTGAAAGGCCACACTAGGACGTGCCCTCATAACCGTGATCGTGCTTTTGGGACGTTAACCTCGAGATGAGAGTAATAATAGAATTTATAATAATAATAATAATATAATAATATATAATAATAATAATAATAATACATAATAATAATAATAATTAATATTATATATCGGTCAAGGTGAGTTTGAGTTTCACCTATTAACATCAGCGTTTAAAATTGGCAGAAGTCCTCAGCAAGATGCTGTTTACGCTTTGAAACGTGCGCCGACTAACAGACGCGTCGTCATCCTCTGTTTTGAAACACTAGTTGGTGGCCCAGTTTTTCTTTCTCTTAAACCTAACCTGACTTGGCAACTGAGACGAGTGAAGGAAGAAGGAAGGGAGGGAAGGGTACATTCCATCGTTTGTCCTTGACCGCAACGCCGCAGTAGGCAGCGTTCAGTAGGCGTAATCGTGCGAGAGCTCCGTGCCAAGCGCGAACATCGCCTCGTCACACCGCGGCTCTCGCATGCCACGTCCCCAGGCTCGGACGCGAGCGATACACGAAAGAGATCCCGGGCCTGTCTCTCCTCCTCTCGGTGTTCTGTTCTCTCTCTCTCTCTATCCCTCGGTGTCCGTGTCGAGCGAAGTGCTATGCGGCACGGCCCCCTGGGCCGCTATAAATACGTGAGTGAAAACGCCCCGCTGACACCACCACACGCCGTTGTCCACACGGCTCGTATCAAGTGGCCACGCAGAGCTCTTGTATAACGCATACACGATATTATTTTCGATTCGTGGACCCCAACCTGCTGTTAACTAACAAGATTTATGCGGTGTTCTCTTTTCCCATCACATGCGATAAATGCCACGGCACCGTAGATCTCGCTGATATATGCTCTATATAGCGCTGCCCCACGTGAAAAAAAAAAAACAAAAATACTGCGACAAGGAAAATACCGCAGAACGGTGGGGCGTAGCTCTACGCATTTCATATTAGAAGAGCAATTATGGGCAGTAACGGGTGTCCGAAGTGCTGAAAGGCTAGTTCTTTCGGTCCCCAACGTGGGAGCGGCCTGCTTTGGGCTAGTACACTAACGCGACCTATTGGACATTAATGAAGTTCTTTCGTCCATTCATTCATAGACGTCGCCATCTTAGGCTGCTCTACGAATATATGACTGCCTTTGTATGTCTTGACGTGAAATTGATGTCTTCCGACGTGGAATTCACTGAAGAAAATAATGACCAAACACGCTGTCAGAACAGCAGAAATTGCCCGCGACAAAAAGGTTTTTCTTGAAAGCGATAAACGTTACTATAGGGCAACGCATATGCTTGCTAGGACAGCAGAAGAGAATTCTGTCGCGTCAAGCTGTTACGACAGAGGGCGCACGCTCTGCAATAGGTACCGAATTTTCACCCACAGAAATGTCCATGAAGTTAAGCGAGAAATGGCTGTAGCGCAGCTTTTTTGTGTCAACAGGCCCTTTTGTAGTATGGTATATTCTCCATACCATACATACCATACTACAAAAGGGCCTGTTGACACAAAAAAGCTACAACAGAGCCTTGCTGTGGATGGCAGGGTAGCAACAGCGTGTCAAGTTCCGAAATAATAAAGGACATCAGAGTTTTCGGTCGTCGCATTCTGCTGAGTTTGCCAACTGGGGATGCACCAGCGCTGTTGGTTAAACTACTGACGAAAAAAAGAAATACCATCGTTAACAGCTCAACATGGGGCTATTGAACACGTCCATAAACTGGTCCACACCCTTAGCCCATTCTCACTGTACAGCTTTGCAAGATAAGTCCAAACGTAGCTGTTGATTTAGCGGCGACAAGTAAGGGCCCCGTTACAGTGTTATCTGCCCTTTATGTGTGTACAACCTCAGCTTCTGCGCCATTGTAAAAAACGAAAAAAAAAAATCAGGCCTGCGTGCAGACATTAAGTAGACTGCTTTTCGATATTGCAGGCAAGCGAGACGGCTGCTAGTCGCCTACTACACTTGCTTTAGTTATTTTGGTAACGCTAGGCGTTTACTTGCGTTGTCTATGTACAGTTCTGGTGTCATGTCCCAGTCCACACCGTTGTTTTATTTTGTTAATCGGCATATGCATTTTGATCTTTATTTCTAGCGTATTGATGTTGGTCGCCCTTACATAATGCTTCGCGAGGGTTCTGGTGAGGTGTTCCTAACTTTGCCTACCCTGCGTCTGGGCTCTGTAGGGCCTGCATTGTGGGCGAAACAACTTCACTTTGTCCACAGCTGGCGCGAGTTAACTCGACGTCACCTGACTCGGCCCACTCGGGGACGGTCGGGTTAACCTTACTGTGTAATAGATAGATAGGTAGATAGATAGATGGATAGATAGATAGATAGATAGATGGGATATAGATAGAACGGTGGAAACGTGGAACGATAGAAAGATAGAACTATAGAACGGTTAGAACGGTAGAACGATAGATAGATAGATAGATAGATAAATAGATAGAAGTAGATAAATAGATAGATAGATAGATCACACAAAAGGCATCGCACAGCTTTCCACTGTCTGCAGATGTGTGCAAAACTTGCAAATAGTATTGGAGGTTCCAGAAGTGTGTTTCGTAGAACTAGTAAGGTCAAACATGGTGAAAAGGCAAAAAACAGCCCAAACTAGAAGAGACGAACAAAGAAATAACCGACAGGACGAACGCTGACAGTGTGCGATGTAGTGAGAGCTGACAGCGTTCGTATCTTTACTTTGGTTCGTCCGTCTCTTCTAGTTTGCACTGCTTTCACTTTTTATCAAATAGTTGAGGGTTTATTTGTCGTATTACACTCTTACTTATTTTTGGAAACAACCATTACTGACAAAAGCTTTCTTGGCATTTATTTTATGTAATCTCCAAATGGCATCAATGTTCAGAAAAATCCCAACCAATTCGAGATATTGACGCTGTGAGATTGACATAAGTGGTCTTAAGCCGTCAAGACGTCGAATTTAATTTTACTTAGGTGTGCTCAGTGTACCTAGAAATATATTATTCACTGTTGGAGATATGGCAGGCGTAAATTTGTGGGCTGCCTATTACAGGAATATAAAAAACTGTGAAAAAAGAACCCCGGAAGCTTTCCTGTAGACTTTGCCGGATTCACAGCGACTGCTGTAAGGTTGTACGCTGTCCTGAGACTTCTCGAATAACTGTCTCTTACAAACGTTCGACAACAAAACATTTGTGTGCTATCTTTATGCTTTGTAGCGTAAGTTTCCTAAAGCTCAGTAACTAATAGATCAGTGCAATACTAACATTAACACATTGATTCTTAGTACTTTTGCAAGTACCGTACAAGATACAATAAGGAATCTACATCTCGTTTAACGCTGTCCGAAATCTCATTTTCCTTAGTTAGGCTGGTCTATTTGTTACAAAATAACAAACAAACAATAAAGCAATAAAAGGCAGGACCATTCCGTGTACGGACATGTTCGAGGTATTTTAGAATGAGACGATAAAAGTACTTTATACAGTGTCCTCGGAATGTGTCATTAATTTGTTGAGAGGAAGCAGTTGTTGAAGGTACCAAAAACCTGTCAATGAATGAAGGAAGGAATTTTGAGGACTAGTTTCGTCGTTTGACACAAGCTTGAAGAAAGCCGGCAACTGTCGGTTTTCATCAAAGTTCTGTTGTCAGCTGTCGTCTTCTTGTTGTTTACGACATATATACACGATTAGAGAAGTGCAAAGGTAATAGGAGGTGTATTTTATCTTTTGTTTTCAGTACACCAAATTCATTCGAACACGTATTCTCTTGATGGTAGACGGGGGAGTTGAAAGAGCGTCTTGGTACAGCTGAGCGGAGCTGTCTTAGTTCCTTGGAGAAATACGTGAGCGCTTCGTAGAAGACAGCTGTTCGCACGCAGGCAGCAGCTGCCCGCCGTCTTTCTTCTCTCTTTTTTTTTTCTAACGCGAAGGGCACGCAACTCTCACATCTGCCTTCTCTCTTCATTTGTTCTTTTTATATTACTTCCCGTCAACCGTGACTTGCACATATGTAGGGCTTCACTTAATTCCGCCGCATACCTGGGTGGTTAAGCGGCGTATAGATTGATTACATCGATGTGTGTGTGTGTCATTGCGGGGTGGCAGAGGCGTGTCGCTTGTTACGGAGCATGTGTGAAGGTGGAGGGTTCGTACCAACCAAACACAATGTGTCAAGAAACTAGCAGTGTGAACCAAATGACAGGAAACAAGTGCAATCAACAGGAACAAAGAGATGAACTGCGCGAACGGTGCAATTTGTCTTAATTTTTGAGGGCCACCAATAGTCATGATGATTATACTACTACTACTACTACTACTGCTACTACTACTACTACTACTACTACCACCACTAATAATAATAATAATAATAATAATAATAATAATAATAATAATAATAATAATAATAATAATAATATGAGTATTCACATGCCAAAGAGATGTTATGATTACATGATTACAGGGATGTCGAAGGGGAGAGTTGCGGATAATGTCGATCATCTCATGTTATTGAACATGCCCTGACGTAGCACAGTGTAGGACCACTGAAATATTTCATTTCGTCGAAGCGAAATCGCTGCGACAGGAGGTCGATCCCGTGACCTGCTGGTCGACTGCTGAGCACCGCAACCACTGTACCGCCGTAGGGGAAAAGGATGAGCTACGGTAGACTAAAAGTGAAATGATATCGCGTTACTGCACC